TAAAACTGTTCTATAACAACATAATAATAAATAATCAAGTAATATTACAAATTTTCTTTTTTGAATTTTAGCATCTATATATATATATATATAATGAAAGATATAACAAATTTGAAGTAAAAAAAAAATATTATTACATATAGAAATAAATATAAATAAATAAAATAAATACCAAGACTACAGTAAACCAATTAAATTATTTTATTTCCTATCTATCAATTGGTATTACACAATTTTCAATGCCTTTCAATTTGCTATATAAAGCTTCAACATGACCAATTGTTCTAATATTAAGATTGATATTTTTTCTTGTATACAATGCAAACCAATTTTTCCTACATAGTATCTATATATTATATATATAATTTTTTGTACTTCAAAATCACTTCCATAATTCTATAATTTTTTGATTTGTTTAATCTTCTGAAAGATCGTTATATATAAGTTTTTGAATCACTTTAATAAATTCATCTAATTAATACCCTTAAACCTATTTTTTATATTTCTAAAAATGTGCCAAATGCACAATTGATATCTTGTATTAAGAAATACAGTGGATATTGCATTCATAAAAGCCAATTCTTGGTCAGTTATAATTATTATTACATTTGAGTCACTCATCAAAACAGTTAGTGTCTTATGCAACTGTTGTAATATCCAACTTTAAAATTCTTTTGTCTCTAAATAAATGAGTGTAAAAGCTAAAAAATATATTGTTCTGAATCAGTCAATATTACAAATAACAATCAATAGCATTGAAAATCTATCAAAATAGATAAATAAAAATAATTAAATAAGTACTTAAGAACATCCTGTTAAAGAAAAAAATAAAAAAAATAAAAAATAAAAAATAAAAATATAAAATAAAATAAAAATAATAATAAATTAGCAAATAAGTTACTAAATAAAGGTTGAAATTAAAAAAAATCTGTTTGTTTTGTATATTACGTCTATAATTAATACATCTTTAGCTATTATAAACTCAAAAACTACACTTCAATAAGCCCAAAAAATTGCTCTCAAAAATGAATCATCTTGATTATATTCATCATTATATGCAGGTTTAGTTGCTATGCCTGATATAATATTTTTATCATTTTGCAAAGTCTTGAGCAACAACTCAACTTTATTTAGTCCTTGCAACTTTTGTTGATATTTATAACTAATAGCATTATAGATGTCATGTTTATATATATACTTTGAGCTAATTAAGATTAAAATTGTATATATGTCTTAATTCATAGTCTATTATTATGAAGCATCTATTTCATTCAAATCAAATTTACACATATTACTGTTAAACTTTTTGTTATCCAGATTAACTTCATAATTATGCTCTAAGCATATTTTTGTTATAGCAAACTTTTTTCATATTTGCAATAATTTACTTCAACAACAAATGAGCAACCTATCTGTTTAGTGGTATATTCCTCTTTTTTACTATTATATTGCCTCTGTTTTTCATATGCAAAAAAAGCTTGTCTATAACCACTACCATCTTTATTTTTAGTTGTTTTCACCAAGATTAAAACAGTATAGACAGTGTTATTTATCATCTGATTTTTT